TCATTTATGCTCAACTAATAAGCCTTTTGTCAATACGGCATGAGGGTGATTTTGCACAATGATAGAAAGGCATTGTGGGAAGGAAAAAGGAGCAAACCTTGCCCCCTATTTCTTCCCACAATGCCTTTCTATTATTGTACAAAATAACTCTTGCAGCATTAGCAACTTCTGCCATTGGCTGTAGGTCATGTAGGCTTACAGCCAATGGCAGAAGGGCAGTGAAGTCCAATTTCTTCATTCTAGTTATACCTTCTTCCTCCTCTTCCTCAATGACCGTGGTTTCCTCTACCACGACCTTTGAACTGCCCGTCTCCATCTCCACAACGGGATCCGCAGACACTGATGGGGCAGTGAGAGTCGAACATTCAGCCGTTGCCATGCCTGGTCAAAAAATTTCCCCACTTGGGCTGTCACTGATCAGATAGATTGCGGCCTGAGAGAGTCGACGCTTGCAACTTGCAGAGAAAGTGGAGGTACGGTTTGCAGCCTATATCCTCTCAAGTTAACGTGCACTGCTGGGTGTGCATGTAAAATACACTCCGTTCTGCCGCAGCTCTGAATTGTCGATAAACCAAAGTAAAACTTCCTCACAAGGAAGTTTTCTTTACTTATCAGTGATGCAGTGCGAGTGGATTTGCTTTGCGCCGATACATTCGTCCTCGGCAACCCGCAGCGTATGCCGGTTGCGCGGTAATACACTCGATTGAAATTGATAGTGTAACGAGACTGGTACCGTCGGCTGGAGAATTGACTAGTTCGCAAATTACATAATGACGTCCAGGAGCTTCACCTAATAAAAAGTGAAACTAGCAACGCCTTATCCGAGTCAACTGGCTGCGGCCGGGAGTAGCGCCTGCATCTACGGCAAATAGCTGCAGCCGCTTGTAACTTTTAACAGCCAGTGGCTTCCATTCCATTAAACGCACGTGGGGGAGATATGGGAAGACACTCTCACTTTTTAATTAATCGGAAGTTGCGCCCTCTTTTGAGGAACAGTTCCCAGTCATTCCAAGGATGTTGAGAGTTTGCGACGGCAAACTTCGAGCATTAACATTTTGACTGATGCCTTAAATTAGTTCCCCAATCTTTTTTCTTTACATACAGCAAAATTCTGCATCTACTTGGAATGGGGAGGGGGATTTTGGTCAACGGTTGAAGACTTTCTATATGAGGTGTAGACCGTCGGGTATTCAGCACAACACACAAAGTACCGAGTAGCAACTTTGTGAAATGAACCAAGAGGCGTGCGCTATGACTAGTTTTACATATTTACTGACCTGTAAATTTATTGATAATTCAATTGCAAGGATGCAGAGGAAAAAAGCTCCACAACGTAAACCAATGTCAGAGGTGTTGATTTTTTTAGGAATGGTTTGATACTTATGGCTGACAATATGACTCTAATTCTTATAACATGCCTAGCAAAAGTTTCATGATGAAACTATTTTTGGAGAAAACAAATACAGATAACAGGTGAATTCGGGAGGAGAGGTGGGAAGGCAACCTATGAATTTCTTTTTCAAATAATAGATATTTCTTTGTAGCTAGCTGGTAACAGGTACGCAAACAAAATCCCGACTTCATTCTGTTCAATGCATGAGAAACTACCTGACAAGTGCAGTTACGAAGATTGGGGCTCTGCCCAATGTTTGACATCTTGGTAATGGCGAGGTACAAATCATGCTTAAATACACCCGCCCACACAGTGAACAATGCAAGACCGTTCAAAAACTGCAGCTTATTCTTTGGTTCTGGAACTAGCTGTGACCTCCAGGGTTCAAATCTAATGAAAAGATCTCCATATTTGTCCCTTTGTGCTAGCTGCACGATTCGATGTCTCCGAAAGAGGAAACTGAACCAAGCCGAGATCTGTCTTCGATCCAGAGCACCTACAGTTAGGATTAAAAATCTGCTGCCTGAGGCCGACACTTCATAAAATGCCACTTTTTAAATATAAATGGTCCATGAAAATAAGAAGGTGATGAGAACTACCAGCCCTTTAGAGGGTTATCAAAATGTATCTCAAAAGTAGTTCATGGAACTAGAAGGGGTTGGAGCTCCATCACTTAATGATGGCTCACTATGTGATGATGGGGAATACGAGTATAATAAGGGTTTAGTATTTGAGGAGAAAACTGTGGAATTTATTTGGCATCATCTCGCTTTGACTTTCTGTTTCGACGTCGACGGCTGGTCCGTCTCCTGTTCGTACTCTATCTCTACGTGCGCCCTCTTCCTCCGAAGCATCTTCTTGGTTTTCTCCTCGTTGTTGTCTTCTTCCGAGGAGCTGCCCTCCTCGCTGTCTCCGGCTCCCAGCCTGTCCATGTCCTGCAACAAGATAGAACCCGCCAGTAAGGTTGACCGTCACTGACCCCAAATCCCTCACCATTAATGCAAGGCGTCTTTCCTAATCCGTCAAGATTGACCATCACACAAGAAGGCAATGCCACATTCCTTGTAGTTCAACTTCCTTGGGACATCAGTCCACGTAATAGAGACCTAGCTCTACCTTCCTTACAGAGGGATACTGGGTGAATATTCAATGCCAGCGCCACTTACCTCAAAATCACTCAGGTCACTCTCCTCAAAATCTTCCTCGGCTACATACTCTACTTCTTCCTCCTCCTCCTCATAAAAATAGAGCGAAAAGGGAAAAACCAACTACTAAGTAATTAAAACCATTTAATTTCTACATAAAATAATTCACTGGAAACACAACACGGTGGTTAATGAAAGCCCTACTCAGTGACAAAACCACTTGTTATGAGTGCCGGAAGACGTGACAGAAAAAAAAATTCACATGCGTCAATTCGCAGCACAAAAGCGCTGCGGTCGAGTCCATCACAAATCCTTTTGCTGATTGCTTCATAAGTCCCCTTCGGAAGTCCCTTCAAAAGACCAGTCATACATAACCAGGTGCACAATGAGAAGGGAACGTTTTTGTCACAGTTCATTTCAATAGCTTGTGGCTTAAGACCGGAGGACTTGTGATGGACTTGATCACACCGCAGAGTAGTAATACCTCCAAAGCCATCACTAAGCCAAACGTATAGGAAGCATTATTTGATCTCTTTCCGTGAAGCTGACAATTTGCAATGATTCAACTTCATTTGTTTTACCTCCTCGTCTTTTGCCTCCTCGTCTTCTCGTTCCTCGTCCTCCTCATTTTCCTCCTGGTCATCTAAGGCTCTGTCAAAGGCTGTGACTGGGAAGTTGTAGATGTCGCCATACTGTGATGGAAACAAAAAATGGATGCAACATTTGTCTTGATTAAACACGGCGTGTGCCCAGCAAAAGGTCGTAAGCATGCTTACATCCTTTTTGCCGGGAAGCATGATCACAGCAGAAAAAATGTTACTGGCAAAAGGGCGTAAGAAACACTCTCTTCATTCAGTAAAAACGGATAAAATTTACTGCAAAATCAACACAGGCTGTGCAAAAAGCAACCTTCGAACAACTTATCAAACGACTTGGCACAGTTACATAACTACGTCCTTTTGCTGGGAAAAGTTTTTTGCAGTGATCATGTTTCCGCCAAAAGGGCGTAAGTGCTTATATCCTTCTTCCAGGCACACGACAATTTCATTCTTCAAAAAAAATGTAAGTTGCAAGTTTTGGGTCCCAACTGATGTTTGAATGTAATGCTGGATGAAAAGGAAGTTGATTCATGAGATTTAGATTACTCTTCTGCAGTTACATAACGAAACTTCAAACTTGCGCATTTACATTTACAGTTGTCAAAATGAAACTAAGCGTTTGCCAGGCAACTAAATTTCATTTTGATGCGGCCTTCCTAATTCCACTGGACAACTGGTTCAGACCACTTTGTGGACTTTTGCCTCATCTTAAATTTTCTTAAGTTTTATTTTGGTAACAGATTCAGTAACAGGCAAAGATTATGGATGGAGGGCAAATTCATGGAGAGCCAATGTAGGAACGGTGATGTCAAAATCTTTAAAAATCATTGCAGCAGTGAACCGATGATAATGGCTCAACAACTTACAGAGCAGCCAAAATTCAAGAGTGGGCTGGAACAATTGGCCATCTTTTGAGGATCAGTACTTGGGGTGGTCCCCCTCGATGACAACTTACCGTTCCCTTCTTCAATCTCTCCAGGAGTTCCTTCTCAATGGCAGTGTCCAGGCGGGCAGCGATAAGGGCTTTGTCTTCTCTCCGCTTCTCTCGCCGCTCCACCTTGCGATTGAGGGGCACCAACTTTTTCCTGCGGGTCGGTTGAAGAGAGAGATGTCAATAGTGTCCTGAGTGCAAAATTTTCAGTGAAATGTACAGTCACCCCACCAATGTCTCTTTCTTCTTTGCAGGTGAGGGGGCCCTTGATTTTGGAATTGACAGGGCCCCAACTGTATAGTTCCGTGAAAATGCAACCGAGGTACCAAACTGTACTTCTGAAATACTCTGTCACTGTGGCTTAACCCTTACTGGATAAGGTTCTACCAACACAGCCAGCTGAACACAAAAGAATCAAAAACAAGTGAAACGACAACCCTGCTGAATTACAACTGTATATAACAAACTGCAACAGAGGTGTTTATGGCACTGCACAGAGCAGTAGACAATCACCAGCCTAGGCACTACCAAATTACATGGTGTACTCAAGCCGCTGATGCTGACTGCTAATGGACACAATGTACAACTTTTGGCCTATAGTGGATTACGTTCCATTTAGCGGGGCTAGGGTAACTGTGGTTCCAACGTCATTGTCCACGGGGTTAAGCAGCGTGCACATGAATATGTATGTATCTGCGAGACAAAGTACAACGCGGTGTTATCGAATAGGGCCAATTGAGAGAAACCAGCGACTCACTGTCTCTTTAGCGTGAGTTTGCGCATGCGGATCAAGTACTGGGTGATCTTGGTGAAGCGCTGTTTGCATTTGTGCTTGATGAAGCCCGGCCAGTAGATGAGGTGGGTGTTGATCTGCTCCAGGGCCTTCTCGTAGTTGCGGGACAGCTTCACTTTCTCCCACATCTTGGCCGGGAAGGCGGCTCGTTCGATGGTCTTCATGTACAAGTAGCACACACCTGGGAGAAAAAAAAAAACGTAAGGGAGTCAGGCATACATTTCATTCAAAATATTTGAAGGATACAATGCATTTAAACTATGCATACGTCCAAATAATTTGTTAAAAATTCTTTTCAATGCAGGAATAAAATTCCTATCTTTGTGATCTTTCTTCTATATCCTGGATAAGGGTGACGCAAAGAGAGTCAACCTGTACGCTGCCCCACTATTGTTTTCTCAAGCCGCTAAATTGCCTCAATCGCCCACATCAGATTTTGGAAGGAAACAAACAAGTAAACATCCAAAAACACTGTGACTTTATCAATATAAAAGCACCAAAAGATGGATGTGTAAGATCAGGAATGCCTGAGCACTTACAGTACACTGGTTAGGTCACTCAGTGTTGAGACACGGTGTTTAACGTGACAAGTGCCGTACACTCGGTATGAAGGCATGAATATGAAGTGGGTATCTTGAAAATGTGCCACTTTGTTGATGATACTGCTTCCACTGTGTTCACAAAAAGGTTTTCCCAATAAGTTATACTTTTGGCATGCTGTTTGATGACTTTTACACACTACACCAACCTGCTATGAAGTTGTACTCCGTGGAAATATGGGGAGTTGTTCTCCTCTTGAACAATTAAGCAGAAACAAAGTAACACAGACAAATGGCTTAGGGGAGTAGGTTTCGATTGGTAGATCTGTATAATTGTTGGATCATGATACAGTACAAGCCAATCCGGTACAAAATCTGTCAATCATGCCGTCATCGGTCAATCACCTTTTCCTTTTAATTCAGGACAGTGGAACACTGTTTTGGAAAGAAGTGAGGTCTGGGACTTTGTATGAGATAGGCCGATAGCGCAGCATGATCAACTGATAGCGTGGCTTGATTGACTGCACTGAATGTAAACGCTTACCATTTTCCTCCCTGATTGTGGCATACTGGCTGTTGGCCAGGGGGCAGGAGGACCTGTTGCACAGACCGGTCAAGTTGTACTCATTCCGACAGAACTGGTGGGTCTTGGCATTGACCTTGTAGGAGCAGAACGTTGTGTTGATGATGCTCCATATTACCTATGAGAGACACAAACAGTTTGTACTCAGTAATCCACTTGCACTCTCTGAATTACATTTGGAAAAGGAACATCAGTCAACATAAAAATCATGGTGGCTTGGCATTACAGTTGTCCTGACTACATTTGGGCTTCTCCTGCGGTTTCGTTAGAGGACCATGTTCACTCATAGAGGAAACAGTCATTGGTAACATTCCTAACTGTCACGATCAACAAGTCTTGTGCTCAGACCACGTATAGGCCACTCACGCGTGTTTCTGGGAGCACCATGTTTCACCCATAGAGTTATTGCTTATTCTAAATCTCGCTTACACCCATTTGAAAGGTACAGGCAATGAAAAGTTCAAGCGCTGTGCGTGTGTCAGGCGAAAACGGTCAGATTTTGAAAGATTTTGAGGTAAGAAATTTCATTGAAGCCCCAACCGTTTGACGTTGGCATTTACGGAAGCCAGGTGGAGTTATTTGTGGTGAGTTTTTGGAATTTTTGAGAACCATTTCAACCTTACTATTTGTACAGGCATAGAGTATTAGAATGACAATCCCGGCCAAAATCGAAAAAGAAGAATCGGCCTACTAACACTAGTAGAGCTAGCCTAGACTATAAGCCTTATCGCAAATACTGCATGGGTGATTTTGCACAATGGTAGAAAGGCATTGTGGGAAGGAAAAAGGAGCAAACATTGCCCCTTTTTTCCTTCCCACAATGCCTTTCTACGATTGTGCACAATCACCCATGCAGTATTTGCGATAAGACTTAGGCTATATACTAATTTAGTTAGGCCTGTACATGTTATACCGCGTGAGGCCCGGTCAGCTGGTGGTGTACACAAAGTAAAAGGTCTCAGGCATGTCAGGTCGTGCTGGTTAATAAGTAAATAAATGGGGACAAAAAAGAAGGAAACGACCGTCGAATATCACGTCATGTACGTGTTAAACTACATTTAAACATGTAGGCCTAGATGCACGGCCATTTGTCCGGAAATTGGGCAGTGACAAAGTGTGTGTGGGATGACATAAATCATCAAACAAGGATAACGCACAACATGCGGAATGATACTCACATCGTCGTGCTGCATTCTGAAAAGAAAATAATTACAACATTGCACGGAAATGTAGCCCGTTCTTTAAAAATTTCTCCCAGGAGTTTCATTCACATCACACGTGCAAAATTTACTGTATCACCGTAGAACTTGCTGCGACAATGTGAACACAAGGGGGCGCTAGTGACATCGAACAACAAACCCCCTTTTAGGGTGCATTGAACCAATTCAAGCTCCATTGAAAGTAGTGTAAAATCAACCAAGTTTGGAGCTCCATGGCAGGCAACTGAAGTCCATGAGGCCTCTCAAACAAAAAACGATGTGTTGTTTGGTCCTTCAGATTTCATTTGATTTTCAATTTTTAATAGGTTAACCAATGAATTTTTTAATTATCCGCCCAAAACAAACTCACCCCCCCAAAAGTGAATGTTGCCAAGCCTTCCAAG